GCCCTGCCACCGCCCCCGGTGCACCATGCCCAGGGCACTACCTCCATCCCAGGCCCCGGCCCCGCACCGGGCACCGAAAGGGCCTCGGAAGCACCGCCGAGCCGAGGCGCAGCCCCCGCCCCGCTCGCCGTGCCTCTGAGCCCCTTCCCACGCAGCCCCCTTTGGCTTCCCCTCTGCAAACACTGTGTCCGTCTCGCTGTGCGCCGAGCACGACCCTCAGACGCAGCCTGAGCAGCGCCTGCAGCGCTCAGCAGTGACATGCGCGCCTCCCAGGGAAGCACAAACTGTTGGCGGGTAAAAGTGCAGCGCTATGGCCAGGGCTTCGGTGCTGGCACGCATCACAGCCCGAGCCGGGTGAAATACCATAGCCCACAAGGAGGCCCTGCCAGCTGACGGTGAATGAAAGCCACGTGAGCGCGACAGGGAGCCCGGCCCTGGCCCTTGCACGGTGCTAGCAAGCCTGTCAGACGAACTAGTAAGCCTTGATCCAAAGCGCATGTGACAAATGCTTCCCCGAGTCCTTACATCCATCTGCCCCATAAAGGGCACCAACAGCCTGCGGGGCTCCTAGCCAAGGGGCACTGCTGACCCGAGCGCCATACGTGAGCACGCCATGCTGGTTTGCAAGGGGAAAAGGGTCTATACAGCCGTGAAAGCCCGATGCAGTTTGCATCAGCTTTGTAGCTGGGGAACACCTGGGCAGGGTGTATTTGCTCTGGCTGCATCGGTGACGTCAAAGTGAGAGATTGGGGGCGGGGGGCGAGGGGAGGGTGTCTCAATCCAAGACGAGGTGTGAAAACAAATCCTGCAACTTTTCCTGTGCTGCTTAAAGAGGAAAGGGTGTTGGGGAACTGCCAATACAGACACAGATCAAGTTACGGAAAAAGCTGCAAGATACTTAGAGGAGGAAGTAGCCCAGTGCCCTGTGAGCCTTAATCAGGTATAGGACGCAAACTCTCCCCCCCCAACAGGTAATGTCTTATTATGAGAACCTGGGAGGGTATAAATCACTCAAAGGTGCCAACAGCAAGAATCACATCTGCCGGTCTCTCTCTGAGGCCATTCAGAGTCAGATCATTTTTGTGGGATGGACGGATGAGGCTCTGCAGCACTTCTGATGAAAGCAGAGCTGAAGTGTGAGCCCCTGCCCAGACGCCTTCGATCAGTGATTTCCAACGGTTGTGTCAGAGCACACGTGGGACACGAGGGAGGCTCAGCCAGCGGACTTGCTCCCTGCCTGTCCCCTCGGTCACCCATCGAGCCGGCCAGGAGACGGCGGCCACCACAGGCGAGGGACGTGCTAGGAGCGAGGCCCAGCAGCCACGCGCTGGTCTCCAGGCACGACGGAGCTGGGGCAGCAAAGGCTGCAGCGTGCCACGAATTTTAAGCCAGGAACAAATGTGCCCTAGGTATGCCAGGATGATCAAACATTGCCCCACGCCGTCACGGCTGGGGCCAGACTGCCTGCGTGCAGCTTGCAGAGAGACTTTCTGCCCTGGCACCTAGGAAAAGTAACTCACTCATTGACAAGCACTGATAACCAGATCCGGGGAAGATAAAGCAGGAAGGTTAGGCTCCTCTTCCAAAGCTCAGGGTCTACTGTCGCAAGAGCCCGTGCTCCCAGGCCAGCAAGGCAACCCGGGAAGCAGCTGTCAATGTGCCAGAGCTATAAAGTCAGGCATAATCCAACAGCCAGGTCTGACCTTTATTGTTGCTCAGATTAAGCATTTACAAGGATTTCTCCTCATCTATTCAGAATCCTACTTCAGACCTTTCGGGTGCAATCGTCACCATGAGCAGCGCCAAGAGCAGCAGGAGGGAAGGATTGGGTGCTGGGGCCTCCTCCCTGCACCAGCGGGTCCCCAGGAGCCCACAGCCCAGGTGTTTCTCTCCTCCAGCACGGGATTTGGGGCACAGATCTCACCGAGTTTTGTCCAGAAGCCAGTCGAGTGGAAGGTCCCCAGGAAGAGCTCCGTGCTGAGAGCCGGCACGAGAAGAGGGAAGGGCTCTTCCCTGCAGGGAACAAGCCAAAGTAAGACTTTTCTTTGACCAGTGCGACCAGGGGACGCCCAGATTAGTTGAAGCTGCCTCTAGGGAGGCAGGACATTCCCCGCAAAGAGGCAAAACAAGATCCACAGCACACACAAACTCCACGCGACCTTGCCGAATTGCTGGCACTGCCAGCGCAGCCCATGGCGTGACAGTGACAGTCATAATCTTCCGGCTGTGCAAAGGCCATTGCAGCACAGGTCTCATAAGGCTCTTTTCAGCTGGCGCCCTGCCAGTGACTTGCATATAAACCCCAAGGTGCTTTGGGAAATGGGCTTTCAAGTAAGCACCTCAAAGTTTATAAAGGTGATTCCTGCAGAAGAAGAGAAAGCTCAGAAAAAATAAAATGGTCTTCCTAGCAGCTCAGAACGAATATCACTGGCTGTTTCTCCTCAGCAGCCCTGATGCTTAAACTGCCAGCACAATCGCATTTAAAAACCAGTATTTGGGAATGGAAAGAGCAGCTCTTCAATGGCAGTTTGCTGCTCCATTGCAATTCTATAGTTAATTTTGGGAGCACATGTTCCGCTGCCAGTTGATGCTGGTTGGAAAGGTGAATGTAACCCACAATACCCAAACAACCTTGTTTACATTTCTTTATTCATTAACAGGGGTAGGATCTAATAGCAAATACAGCTTTATCTTCCTGTGTGTGACTTAAAGACATATAGCTCAAACAGTTTAAAACCAGTCGTCAGCTCAGCCCAGACAAAGTGGCCTCAGAGCTCTGGCAGGTATCCGAGCAAAAACACAGGCATATTTACCAGGCGTGACACTCCTCCCTTTGCCATCCAACAACAATCTGACAGACACGTTTGTAAAAACTCTCTACAGATTACCCTAAACGAGGGTAATCGCATCTCTTACATAGACCTGTGCCTGTTCAGAGCAAATGTAACCTCTGCTCATTTTGGACTTCAAAGGGGAAAGGAAGGATGCTTTGTTCAAAGAAAAGTAAATTCATCATTTATATTAGTAGTGCCTTGAAGTGTAAAGAAGACCAAAGACCCATTTGATTAGATCCCTAAAAGAGAAGCATTTGTCCAGACCAGCCTCTCATCTAAAGAGAGAAGAGAGAGAGGACAGGAAAAAGGATTCTCATGCCAGGTTTTGTGATAGGAGCTGGGGCACACAGAGGCTAAGCAGGAAAGATGGAGTCAGTAGGAGCAGTAGGCTCTGAGCCCGTGTCCATGTTCCAGTCCAGCTCCTTAAACTCTTCCCCTTGGCAGCCTTGGTGCTCACAGGGGCACAGGGAAAAGCCTCGAACCAGCTGGCAGTGGGAACTAGCTCCTGACAAGCAGAGCCTTACTGAACCTTTGCCCAAGTGGTCTTTCACAGAGCTGCTCCCCAAACCCACCTCCACTTACTGCTGCAGAAAAACACGTCAACATTAAGAGATGCAGGGGAGCATGTGTTTTACTTGTGCATTGCTACCAGGAGCATAGCTGCAGGGGGGACCGGCACTGGCTGAGCTCTATGTCTATGGGGGCCTCCTGGAAGGGGGCGGGAGGGCTCCATGCCCCAAAGAAGTAGCAGAGGATGCAATTGCGAGTGAAGAAAATACCCCAGCCCTCTCCTATCCCCTTGCCCTGAACCCACCCAGTTCCACTGGCCCATTTCTAGTCTCTGTCCTCTGTTCTTTCCCCCATGGCTCTTCCCATCCCGTCCACCGACCTTCCCCAAAACCCTGTTCATCCTTTCCAGCCCCCGAGCCCAGGCCCTTCCCCGATTTTCACTCACTGAAGCTTGAACTGGATCAAACCAGACCAGGATCTGTCCTGTGACAGGTTCGGTCACAACTACATCAAAACTGGATCATCGCTTCATTATGTCCTGGATCTCTGTGCCCCAGACCCAGCCACTGCCAGGGACTGCTGAGGCAGCTCCGCTTCGGGGCACCCCTCAGTCCCCTCGCAGTCTGTGCCAGCTCAGCCCTGGCCTGGGTCCATCCAAGTCATCACACCCCTCCGCTCTCTGCTCAGGACCTGCCTGGGGAAGGTTACACCCCGAAAGCAAATAAACCTGGGAAGTTCCTGGCTGGTTCAAGGCTCAGGTGCCCTATACCCAGCCTGGGTTCCTGGTGGGGACCCCAGACCTTCCCAGCCTGTCTCCTCCAGTCTCCTGCCCTGCGCCAGTA